GGACCGATAGGTGTGACAAACCCACGTCTTTGATGGGCGGAGCTTATTTACTTGCTGTAACGATGTAGCAGTAGTGTTTGTTAGCATATATGTTCTTTGAGAAGCACAGAGATGTTTTAGTGTGTAAAACGTGTGAGCACATTTGGTTTTCCTGGAACGGTCAAAATGAAAGAGTGACGTGTAAACAGCCTACACACGGACCTCCACCCAGCTCGAAGCAGCTACACCTTTGGTCTGAAACTGAAAGGATGGAAGCGTTTACTTGGAGGTGGAACAGGAAATGAGACGTGACCTAACGTGTTGCGATGAGCAGGAACAAAGTCTGAGCTGTACAGTCTGATGGCTGCTGTCAGACAGCATTTCTGTCCTCTTCTTCTCCTCGTTTCATCTCCTGCTCATCATTTTACAAAGCAAACAGGTGTTCCTGCTGACGTCAGTGTTGTTACCTGAGAAGGTCGTACATGGCCGAGGTTTCGCAGGTCACGTTCGCAGGTCACGTGGTTTAATAAAGTCCACGGGACGCTGGCTCGTCTTTTCTCCAGCGCTGACTGCAGCAGACCTCTGAAGGCAGTCGAGACTGCTCGGTAAAACAAAGTGCGGATAAAAAAGAATAAAGGATGTCCAACAGTAAGGTTGTCGATCTGTTGCACATTGAACCAAACAGTCCGTCAACAGGAGGCATCGTGAGCAGCTGCATAGCTAGGTTGACTGTTTCAAGCAGAAACGCCTCTTCAGATCACAGCGCTACTGCACAAAGACACACCAACACTGACACGACGTCCTACATACGTCAATGTTACTGCTAAAATTGCACCAGGTATCCTTTATAAGGTCTGTCCCTAAATAAATTTCATTGTTAAAGTGCATAAAGATATGAAGCTGTTTTGAAAACATCACCTCTGGTCATTCAGACTACCTGCACTACCAGCCCAGCATGAACCTTTCTACCAAAACAGGGAAGTTCTTAAGTCTGTACTGGGTTCAGGCCTCAGCCAGCATCGAGCTCTCAGAGGGGACGACCCCTGAGCCACGTCAGACCCAAACAGTTACTGCTAGTCCTGTTCAACGTCCTGCAGCAGCACAAACGCTTATAAGTGAAAGAAGATGATGCTGAGTGCATTCAGATCGCTCTGTGGGACAGGACGCAGCAGGAAAACAAGCCTAAAGAACTCAAAGGGAATGTCTCACTCAGACCTACGACGAGCTCTCGGCCATGCCCTTCAGCAGCCGGCCACATCCTACTCACAACAGGAAACATGAGGAAAGACCTCCACCCACACTGGCAGTCACAGCTGGAGACACTTCAGTCCTACGACAGGGTCAGTGACACACCTGCAGAGATAAAGAGGCGACAGACTGTAGGTACACTCAGATTCTTGAGCCGGGGGTGAGTCTGTGGAGCTGGAAGCTTCTTTCATTTGGACACCAAATGAGATCTCTAGGCTCGCAGCGACAACTACTCCTTCGAAGCCTGAAAGTATTCCGAAATTCCTTCAATATCCAACAGAGATTCCTGTAGATCAAGCCCACCCCCTACAAACAGCTGACTACACCCACCAGCCACAGAAGAATCATTTGGCCTCATCACCAACACCACCACTGTTTGGTCATCACAGGTAACCTGATCTAGGTAACATGTCAGAGGTCAGCTGATCACAGGACAGGTCCTATCCATGAACAAACACATACTAGAAATTTAAATTCTGTCATTTGATGAAAAGTTCCTGCTGAGGGACGGATTTTGCATCCAGCTCCGAGTCGGCTCTGCGGGGTTTGGTTCTGGTTTGGAGCTGCGGGGGCCACACAGGTATCAGCTACCGGCTCGTTTATCCACAACAAAAGAAGAGGAAGACAAAGAGCAAGAAAATTAATGAGATCTTAAAGAAAAGCAAACTTCGGACCACTTTAGAAGCAGGTCATCCCGTCGGGCTCAGAGGTGGTGGTCGCCGTGGCGCCGCCTCCAACCAAAAAGACGGCAATGCTGGATTTGGACTGGTTTAATTTAGGGATGCCGACACTTCCTGCTCTACAAACACCGGATGAGAACTGGTTCTGGCTGCTACTGCCATCAAACTCGAAGTCCGGGTCAAGAGCCGTATCTGTGGAAACCACCCAGGAGGCCGGGCGCCATTTTTTCAGGGTGTATGGAGTCTTGACCCGACGCTTGATTTTCTCCCCTGAGGCGCTCAGACTGCCGTTATCCACCACCAAAGCATCATCTGAGGAGAAGAAAGTGTCACAGATGTGAGGAGTTTGCACTGTTTTTGCATCTTTGTGGAGCTGCAGAGGTCACCCATGCTGCAGATCCCTCACAGAAAACCTGGAGTTCATCTGATCTGACTGAGCCCTGACACACTGATAATGACGGCGGTAGTGTCTGACTGTCCGTCGGACTGAGCTGAGTTTTAGAGACAGATCAGCGTAATCAGTTTGTCTCTGATGACCTGATTACGTCGTGATACACGGTGTAATCAGCTACAGACTGTCCAGCTCGAGCCAGTTTTGAAAAACTGTAAAACTGGAACCTGCAGCTTATAAGTTTGTTTAAAAGTTCAACTACAGAACAAACATGACTCACCTGAGGAGGTGCAGGGAGAGGACAGGTCCAGGGAACAGGGCCGCTCAGGTCTCCTGGCTTTGGCCTGTCCCACCTGGGATCGCATCAGACCTGCTGTTTGTGGCTCTACAGCTGAACTTTGGAGACCTGCAAGTTGTGGACCTGAAGCTTCTGCAGGAGCTGTGGTGTCTGAATCTTCAGATCCCAAAGCTTCGAGGGTTTGCTCCTCTGGAGACGAAGCTCCTGGAGTTTCTGGTGATGAAGGTTTCTGAAGGAGGATTAATGCGTCTGTTGGGGCGTCGGGTGCTGGGGAGGCCTGGGTTACTGAAGCTTTTGTTGAGTCAGAATCTTTGCAGCCTCGGGGCAAAGCAGCGGTAACACAACGCACTGGGTGACCTTTTGAGTTTTGGGCACATATGGGGGTCGACGTGGTTTCAGAGTCTTCCTGGAAACACAGACCTGTATCCACACCTTCGCTTTGACTGTGGGTGGTGGGAGGGGCCTGCAGTGAGAGGGCTTTGCTGGATGAAAGGAGACCAGAAGGAGCAGAAAGTTGAACCTTATGCTCCAGATCAGAAGTTGTGGGAGGGTCAGCTGATGAAGCCAGGGCTAGCCGGTTGTTGTTGTTGTTGGAGTTCGAGCCTCGGCCCGATAAGATGCTTCCAGCGCGGCTGTGACGATGATGAGCAGGAGGAGGGGCTTCGCTCTCAGCAGGAAGCTGCTCTCTGCTCAGCAGAGGTTCATGTTCATCAGGACTGAAGTTGAGGAGATTCAAACGGCTGTCTTCTCCTCCTCTCACCCCTCCATCCATGGTCCCCTCCTCGTCCTCCGTCTGCGGCCCCGCCGGATTGGTTCGACCTCCGCCTATCACACCGTTCGTCACCAGGGTGGGGACGCCTGCGCTGTGACTGCTGCCGGCCGCTGTGATAGGCTGGACCTCTCTTCCAGCTGCAGCACTGCTTCTCACGTTTGTGCTGTTAGTAACCGTGGTTACCAGGTGTGGTTCTGCAGCCATAGTAACCATCACTGTGTTCATCTTGGCAACACCTGTTTCCACCTGGAACATGAAACATTTTGGATTAGTGACACAGTTGGCCCGCCTGATTCAGCTCAGCTGGTGAAACACCGAGTCGAGTCACGGTGAAGCTGTCTGAGGATCAGCTGGAGAACCCGGGCACAGCCCTACCTGTCGGTGGTTGGACTTGAACTTCCCCAGCTTCAGCCGTGACGAGGTGAAGCCGCTCTCCTTGACTTTGGGCAGCAGATGGAGACTGGTGGGCCTCTGAGGCAGATTCTGCTGTTTGGGGAGTGGGTGGATGGAGGAAGGAGGGCTATCTACACCTCTAACAGCCCGCAGACCACTACGAGAGGTGGATGGCGAGCTGTTCACCTGGAACAAAAGCAACAAGCATGAGCGTCTGATACGTTCATTCACCAGCAGCCACGCGCTGTACAGGCCCTCAGCTGTGTGTACCTGATGGTGCAGCACGTCGGTGGGTTGTGATTCGGAGCCAAACTGCTTCTGTGAGTGCTCCATCAGGTTTTCATCAGAACTCTCCCTCAGGTTCTTATCGACCTGCAGACACAGATGTTGGCAGATGTTAGTGTGTCGGGATGGAGGCCACTGAAACTCAAGAAAGACTTCACGGTTAAAACCTCTCTGGGGTCGAGCTTTGTGGCCTCCAGGTCTTCTTCTGTGAGATGCAGGCAGACTGGGACACTGGGCACGGCGCCACCTGGAGGACGGCAGGAGCAGAAACATGTGAGGTCATAGCAGCAGAGCTGTGCTCGCTGCTTTAATGAGGTGTTTGGGTCTATGTCGGGGGCGTGGCTGTTTGTTACCTGTGTGCTGAGTTTCAGAGATGGTGCAGAGTAAGGTGGGCGGGGTCAGGATGGTGGTGGTGGACACGCTGCTGTCTGTGGACAGCCGAGCCTGATGGACAGACGGACACAGAGCGATGAGACCCGTCCACGGTAACGGTTCATTCAGGTGTGCTTTAATGGCGGCCGAGCTCCTACCTGCGCCTGCTGCCGTTCGTAGTTGATGGAGTTCCTGTTCTTCTCGCCACCTTCTGCTCCATTCACAGTCGTCTTGATGAATGATGCCTGGTGGTCATCTCCCTGGAGATTTCTGACCACGCCCACATGAAGATCCTCAATGAAGGGGGAGGCAGAGCCACCGTGAGGAGGCCACCGGCCATGAGACAGATTCCTGAGTGACAGACAGGAAGGCATGAAATCAAGACTTCCTGTCTCTCAGTTTTACACTGTGCATTTACTGTGATACAGTACCACAGGTATTGTGTGTACTGTGTGTACCTGTGGTTGTGTACTGCAGTGTGTGTACTCAGCAGTGTGAGTTCATAGAGCCTCTCCTCTGCACACTGAGCGGTGAGCCGAGCCTCAGCGTCCTGATCCCAGCAGTCCTCCATCGTGTCCTTCAGCGAGCGCAGTAACTAAAGTACACACAGTGAGAGACACGCTGGGATTACTCTACATCCAAAATACTTTTGGGAATTAACCTTTGAACCTTTGTCTAACTTCAAAGGTTCAGGCTGTGGAGCAATCTGACGACATCAAACTGAAAGACGGACCAGGCTGTTCTCCTTCCAGGCCTCGGGGAATCTGGGTCTGTATTTCTCTCTGGCCACCAGGCTCTGCATGTCCTCGAAGCTCGGATGATTCCCGAGCTCGGCCTGGAACGCCAGCTGGTACTCTGGCACCGCTTCCCCTGAACGAGCAGTGAACACAAACACGCTGTCAGCTGAGGTGGTGCTACTTTACTCTGTGTAAGCAGACGGTGTGCAGGTGAGCGCGCTGCGTACCTGCGAACAGGTCGGAGCACCTCCTGAAGCTCTCCCAGTACAGCAGACCCAGAGCGTAGACGTCCACCTGCTTCAGCGCCGACTCGCAGTCTCTGAGGTTTAGAGCTCCGCCCAGAACCTCCGGAGACATGTAGCGCACTGTCCCCACCTGCACACAAACACACCATCCATCAGCTCCGCCCTCTGCTCATTCCTCACCTGCACATCCAGATCAGAGCAAACATTTATGAACTTTGACCTCAGATATGGCCATGGTGTCGTCGTCTCCGGGGCGACAGGGCCGGGGTCCCGTCAGTCTCATGGACAGGCCGAAGTCGGCGAGGACGCAGGACAGATCGGCTCGGACCAGGACGTTCCTGCTGGTCAGGTCTCTGTGGGCGACGGCCGGTTTGTGCTGGTCTGAGACAGTCGGGGTACACGTGTTTGTTGTTGTTTACAATCGACCAGGTAAACAAACAAAGACAGCAGGAAAGAAAAGCACAAACAGGAAGAAACAAAGAGAGCAACGTGCAGACGTTTCACAGCAACGCAGCCGAACGATGACGGCATTCAAGTCGCGGAGCTGCCGATGAAACCAAGAAGGCGTTCTGTTTCCTCTGACACACGTGATGGAAACATGAAAGAATTGCAAACTGAGCCTTTTAATGTTTTTACTGTTAAAGAGAAAAATAATTTCATCAGAAACATCATCCTTTCTTTTCATGTGACAACGACATATATTACGTTCATAAACAGCTGACCGTTATCCACCCGAGCCTCTGCTGTCAGAGAATTAATCCTCCAACCTCAAAATCAGCACCATTCATCCAGATATTTAGATATTTATTATTCCAGTATTCCATTTATGTCATTTGTTCTCTAAATAAACAAAAGCAGCAGACTGGGTCTGTTCCAGCCAGCAGGGGGAGACACAGCCCCTGTTTCCAGATGCTCCTCACACGGACCAATCCGCTGCTGAAAATAGACCCTGAGTGGCACCGTTTCTTCCTGTCTGTGTGATCAAAGCCTGTGATGAAGAAACGAGGATGACTCTGCACGAGCGACACGAGGTCGTCTTACCTCCTCGGTGCAGCTCAGTGTGCAGGAAGGCGAGGCCTCTGGTCACGCCGTGAGTCATCCTGCAGCAGGTCAGCCAGTCCACAGTGTGGAGAGACAGGTAGTGAGACAGGCAGCCCTGCAACACACACACACACACACACACACACACACAGTTTGACCCTTAAATGCAGCTTTGTCTGATCTTTTTGACACAGGAAGTTCCTGCAGCATGGATGATGCGTGTTGTACACTGCACTGCCAAAAGTATTTGCTGCCTTCGCACACATGACCCAGAGTGACATCACAGGGTTTAATATTATGTTGCCTGGCCTGTGCAGGTAGGTTGGTCTATAATTAGCTAAGACAGAACAGAACAGGCCTTTAGTTTCACTGTTTGTGTAACAGACAGCAGCAAACAGGAGAAATATGAACAAAACTGACACATTAGAGAACAAGATGCAAAGTGTTTGGAAGGAGTTCAAAGAAAAGACTTTGGTGTCTGTGTGAGTGGTGGGGGTCACTCAGACCATGGCCATGACTAGTGCGGTGGGTGGGGGTGTG